TGGCTTCGAATCCCCACAGCTGCAAACATTTGTGCGGGCCACGAGGGTATTTACATGGGCTGCTCTCGCCCTCCAGACCACTTCGCGTAACCAGGGGCCCTTAAGTGGAGGCTTAAAAATCCTGTAATGGCATGGGCTTAGGCCCGGTGGGCTAGTCGATCACGCTTAGTGGTCGGATACTGGATTATCAAAAAAAAAATAATGTTGAATGATAATTCATTTTAAGGTCCATTGTGTCCCACATATGAAGGCATGCAACATTCATAGCCTTATATTTTGGCGTGTAATTCTCGATACATTCATAGTTGATTACGACTTTGTCTTACGATTTCTGATTTTGGGTTTATGCTATGATAATATAGAGAAACAAACAGTATCACTCTAGCCATTATAGTCCTTTTATTTTGGTTATTAAAGTCAGTTTAAACCTTTTTTATTAATTAGGGGTATCGAGACCAAAGCCAAATAAACCTCAAAACAAAAAATGATGTTTATAGTCGTAGCTCAGTGACCAAAAAAAGATGTTTATAGTCATAGCTCAAATGCTTTAATAGGTCCAAATCATGGTTATATTTTTGTCAGGCCAAGAGTAATAACTTAGTTCATTGTAGGATTATGAACATATATAATATATATACATTATGTTACAAATTTAATTGCTTATGTTTAATTGTTCAATGGCATGTTATTTTTTACGTTTTAAGTGTGAATCTATTATATACACCTTCGATTTCATAACAAATAATGTTTTGGAAGGTTTTGTTATTTCAAAATATCATATATTTTGATATTTTAATATTATTGAAAAGTGTATAACCAATTAGATTTTGTATTTTTATCTGATTGAATAATTTTAAATGATTTTTAAAAGTACTTTTTATAGAAAAGGAAAATTTTCAATTTTTATGAAATAAACAACATTTATTACTAGAGATGTGGCAGCCCGATTAACTTAAATATACATGTTAATGTTGTTGCATTCCTCAATTCGATACTTAAATATACATTGATTTTCTTGGTAGAGATTACAAGATTCAGTCCAAAATTATTAGAATAAGGAAAATATTTGTGTTTAAAAAAAAAACTAAAAAAAATATTTATTATGAACAGAGGAAATACTAGATACAATTTGAGTATAATTAATGGAAATAAAGCACCATTTTTTACTAAAATTAGATTTAAAACATATTATTACTATTATTCTTTTGGTAGAACCGAATTATACTCTAAAAATTAAAACATGACTTTTTTACAATTGAGATTTGCCAACTTACTTGATTGAGTGAATTTTGGTCTAACTTTTTCTTCTTCTTGACTTCTCGCCGATAGATAATTTTCAATTATTAATTGTTGTGGCCCATTAATTACTTGGGAAATAAACAGCACATGTTCATTCAATTTCAATTTATACATCATACATTGTCTATATATGACGGTATAATTAATAATTCCAGTGACATCATAAAAACTTAATGATTGTCGATGGGTCTTGGGTATTCAGATATTTAGATCGTTTCGGATAAGAAGGTAAGAACTGATTTGTCCTGAGCACATATTTAATATGGATAAGAGTGTCTTTTCAGTTTTAAATAAATATTAGAATTTTTTCTGGGTTTAAACAAATATATTTGAATATAATATATAGAATGCATATATATATATTCTGTTCAATTTTCAAAATTATGAATTGAATTTGAAGGAATTAGAACTTAACTTTTTGTCTAATATCTAAAATTACATATGGGCTTATGGGATGGTTAGGAAAATGCAAATAAATAGAGTTTATTAAGAAGGGATCATAATTATCTTACATATTTAGATATACATAAAAATAGACATTTAATCTCTATTTATTCAAACATTTACGCACCTCTGGTTCATGTTTACATATTTATTGATTTAAGAGTATCATTTGTTGTTTGTTATTCTTGGCATATAAACCATGTGTTTTCCAGTCCCAAATATGAATTTTTCTTTAAAAAAATGTCTATAAGATCAGTTTAGGAGACAACATTTAATATTGTAAAAAAAAATTCCAAATACATAGTCATCATTTATACATTTTGCTCTTAATTATTAACAGTCCTCTACTTTTGGGTTGATGTTGCTCAACCTGTTGTCTTGCATGTAAATCACTCTGACAAAAATTATGATAAGTTAAAATAGCGAATTCCACTTAAACATATGTTATGTTAATATGGTTGGCAAATAGAAAGGGTTTGGTTGGCATTATGACAAGATTTGTTTTTAAAAGTTTGGAAAATAAATCTTTGTGGCACTATATCTACGGGAAATTAAGTCTGTGTTTTTGGCTTCAAAGCTTAAACCCCATGAATCATGAATATGAATCTGAGAGACCAAGAAATAAAAGGAAGTGTGTTTGATTTAGTCTTTCTTTCTGCTATGTTCTGTCTGGTGAAGAACCGTAACTGTAAAAGGTTGATGCTAACTCAGTTCCATGTCTCTACACATATCTTTTGTTCCATAGATTGTCCTGTCCAAACATTTTTGAGTTTCTTCCCTCTCAGAGACTACGAAAAATAAAGAGATTGCTTGACAAATAAACAAAAGAAACATTCTTAAGTCTTTACTTACTTAGACATGAGTTCACGTTCAGCCTTTTCGGTAATGCACACAGTAATTTGAGAAAGAATTCAGCAGGTAGTAGCCAACAAGCTGATCCAATATATCCTTTCGATGATACTAACAAGAAGGTTGAAGATTCAAACGATATGGACACACCCACGGTTTCCACTATCGATGGATGCTACTATAAAAGTATCTGGAAAATGTGTTTGATTAACACTGTAGGGAACATTTGTAATAAACAAAGCTCTACGGTAAAACTTTAATAAAACGAAAAGTACAGGTTTCTGTTATTAATTTTTTTGAAAAGGAACATTGTAACGAACCAAATAATTGGGTGGTTATGTTATATATAGAATTTACAAGGATCAATCAGTAAGAAATGAAACTTAGCGGATCATTGTGTAATAAATAATAGACTATGCGGACTGTGATTAACGTTCACTCGTGCTCGATGCTCGTGCAAGGCACCAGAGACAGAAGCTACCTACACCATTACCAGACCCACCGGACCCGGAACGGTTCGGCCCACAAACGTGTAATGAACCGTCTTGGTTTATGAAGCTGCCCCATTGCTCTCTGGGAGATTTTTAGAAATGCACATCAGTTGTTCGACGAAATGTCTGAAATTTAAAATTGGATTCTTGGACGAGTATTGTAACCATCCTGGTATGTATGTGTGTTTATGATTTAGCCATATGTCGATATTATTAATTTCTAACGTGACTTTGAAGAAATGCAATATCATCAAAGTTATAATGTATCTATTAGTTATCATATGCTGCTTAAATGCTGTAAACTCTTTAGAAGTTGTGTAGACTAGTAAGTAAACTTTTTTCATTTTACTCGATGGTTTTCATGTTTAAGACCATTTCAAAGTTTTATGCATTTGTCTTTTTTAAACTGTTTTGTTTTAACTCAATATGGGATTATGATGAAAAAAAGTGTAATGGCTGAATATGAGACTAAGTACTGCCCGGCTCTTAGCTGCTGGTGGCTCTCTGTTTTGAATATGATGTCTGCCTTACTCATCTGAATCTCTTTTCTGCAATTTGTTTTTGTATCTTGTGGCAGTCATTGACACATTTGTGGTTTAAGCTTGCCATGTTTTAAAAAGATTTGACTTTTGTGATTCAGTTATGTTTTTTGATGCAAAGATGTATGAATTGGGGGCAAAGTTTGATATCCGAAAGGAGAAAGTTCAAAGCGCTATAGAGTTGACAACGGTTAAATAATCAGGTAACTCTTAAGCTTTTCATATACTATAATTTTTTTTGTTCATGGCGGCTTTCAAAGTCATAGCTGTCCTTACAAAACGTTACTAATATGATTGATTAGAAACTTCTGAGTCTTTCAGTGTGGTGGTTCAGTTAGCAAAATGCAACTAGTCAATGATAAAGTTGTGCGATGTTTGAGATAAACTATCTATGGTCAGATAAGTGGAAGAACAAGTCTACTTTACTAATTCAGAGCTCTCTTTTAAATGAAGTTTTATTTGTAGTAGTAGTAATGCTTTTCTTGATCTATGCACCTAACTTAGAAATCGTCAAACCCTTGTTTGTAGATCATTATCCACACTTAAGCCACATATTGAATGCTATAATCAGATAAATATTTTCTAGACCTCAGAGTGAATCACAATTCCTGAACCGGTCACTGAAATAGACATCTATGGTGGTGATCTTTTCAGATGATATTGCCAAACTCTGATGGAAAGTGTGCAGGTGAAACCATGTTTCTGAAAACATAATATTAATTGATGTTCCTCTGTCATATTACTGTGCTTGAAGTTCTTTAGATTCCAGAAAGGTGTAGTAAAGTATATATTAAAAAAATAATTAGCAGATTTTGTGAAAAGGAAAGAAAGAGACAGATGCTTTTGTCATGCTTACCACCTTTATCCGTTGAAATATCTTCTCCACCGCAGACCTAAAATTATATAATCTGTAGTCTTTATCCTTTTAGTTTCATTGTTTCTTCTTACAAAGTGATGTGTAAACACACACAACATTTTCAGATTCTTAGCTTTCTTCTTCTATCTGTGGAGGGGACCAGAGAATCAATCAATATTGGTTCCACTTCTCTTGAAAAGTGAATAAGTTTGATCTCTCCATTTGAGTTGATTCTGGTGGTTTGTAAACCAACCATCATGATCAGCTCCCAAGAAAAATGGATACTTACACTTATATCGTTGTGATCCTCTGCATCGCTTTGTTTGCAATCAATCTAGTGTTTTCTTGTTTCACATGCTTCTCCATTCTTCATAGCTTCATGACAGAGACAACAGACCAGGATTTGATTGATCTCGGGAGGAAACTTATCGAACCAGAAGAAGCTAAACCAGATGATGAGAAGGTAATAATCCTTGCAGTCTCGAGTAACCAAGGATTCTCAGGCTCTATCGATGGTGATGATTGTGGCGAAGATTGCTCTCATGATATTTGTGCTTGTTGAAGAAAAGGTTGGATTATGTTTTCCCTACACTGCACACTTCCCCTCATGTTTTGGATTTTTGCTTTGAACTTTTGTACTTGTAAATGGTGAAATCTATAGGTTGAAAGTATCACATCTTATGCATCAAACTCCAGAAATGTTTTATTTTCGTGTATCACGAGAGAAATAGTCTGAACTTATGTATTATACATATTGACCATGTTTTAGTTTAGTCTGAACATATGTATTATACATATTGACCATGTTTTAGTTTAGTCTGAACGTATGTATTATACTATACGTATAGCTCTGTAATGAACTTTTATTCTTGCTTCAAGTTATTTGATTTCTTTTTTCTTTATGCAGCATTAGTCAAATGGATCTGCAGAAATTTTTGAATCAATATTTGTCTTTTTCTTAATATGTTGTTAACCTTTCAATGTCTATTTTTTCTTTGAGGGCTGAGAATTAAAGGCAAAGGCTCCCACTTACGTCGTGGAGAAAAAATTGAAAACAAGTTCCACTCATTGAAAGTAATATAAAGCTTAACAACGAAATTGATAGTTGACAAAACACCAATTACCGAATTCAAACAAAGAAAAAAAAATGAAATTAACGACAGCGAGTTGCTTATAAAGACAGATTTCTACTTGAATAATAAGAACAAAAAAAATAATTGAAGGTGATATTTATTATTTTCTTATGATTGATTAGTTGGATGGAAGGGAATCGACATGAAGCTTAAAAATGATTATGAGCAATTAGTTAATTTCATTTATATTTCAACGGGCGAGTATTAAACTCAAGTAAGTGGTTGTAAAGGCTTCAATAATAACGTTGGGTCCAAATTAGAAAATACACAAATATCCCGGGAGTATAAGAAAATTATATACCATTGTTCAACGCGTTGGAAAACTTGTTGGACTGAGTCAGACAGAGCGGTAGAGGCTGAAAAAAAGGAAGAAAGATGGGTCAAGGAGAGGATGAGAGTAGCAAAGGATTTGCTGAGGAAGCAGCTAACAAGCATCATCAGTACGGTACGTTTCAAAGTGTTGTTAACTACCCTCCTCCTCCGCATCAGAATTATCATCCGGTCACTGGTTTTCCTGGAGTTTACGGTTCCTCTGCTCCTCATTTCCCCCATGGTTATCAAACCGTTCCAGGTAGCTTCTCTCTACTGAAATTTGATGTGATGATGCAGTTTTTTTATAGAGTTGGGGAATTCAGGGTTTGAAACTTGATCACATGATCAAGATTCAACAGTGCTTTGAGTTTTGTGTTTGTAGTTGCATGCTAAGTAGTGTTGCGACATAATAACAAGTTTTGAGTTCTAGCAACTATTAGGTTGTTTTGGGTTTTGTGTTATAGTCCGTTAGGGCAAGATTACCCACTTTTTCCAGTCCCTTAAGGTGAAAACACGGAGACCGAGGGAAAAAAAAGGGGAAAAAACTCTTATATAAGGACTGTTCCTTAATAAAAACCGACCAAAAAAAAAAAACAAAACTTAAGGGATTTTTCCTAGTCCCACTGATAATCTTGCCCTAATTAGGGAAGTTGTGTCATGTCTCATTCTCTCTTCTTCTTATGTATAACATTTGCTTTATTGTTTTTCTATTTTTCAGTCTATGGCGTTGCTGAAGGAAGACCTCTGATTGTGAGACAACGCCGCCTTCCTTTCTGTGGAATTGGTCTTGGATGGTTCTTGTAAGTTCCTTTTGCCTCTCTCTGCCTCTTCACCTGGCGGCTACACTAGCTTTTTTTTAACAATGTCCTAGCATTTAGCAACACCTTCCAAACCAAGATCTTACTTATCTTAATCTCATAAGACTCTGTACTTGATTTTCTTGAAGGTTCGTAGCTGGATTTTTCCTTGGAGCAATCCCTTGGTATGTCGGAATGGTCATCATGATGGATGGAAGAAGGGTTGACCACAGGGAGAAACCAGGTTACATTGCTTGCACCATCGCTGTAAGTTATCCTCCCTCCATGTTTGTCCTTTGGATTGCAATCTGATTCTGATCAAAATGGTTGATATATCTGTAAACACACTTTCAGGCTGCTCTTGCCACGATCACTCTGATTCTGAGTTTTTCTAAAGGAGCAGAAGACGGGTGATCAGTCAACCATCTCTGTGAACATTTATATAGATGTCGATAAACATTGCGTCTTGTATACCAACTGCTTGGAAAACAGAGAGAAAAAAAGGTATAAACTTAATAAAAGATATTGAGTTTTGTTATTTTCAACCAAGTCAATGAGATTAAGGAGACAATGCGATAGGAATACAACAGAACCTTACATTAAGAAAAAAGTGTAAACTCTATCGTTTTCCAGAAACAGTAGCGTTGTTGTGCATCCTCAACAAGTCATCAGGAGTTACAAGATACCAGCTTCCATCTTTCTGAGCCAACAGCTTCTGGTTAACCGAATCTATCACTACACTCACATTCCCAAACCCATAAATCTGAAGACCATTGTGCATTCTATTCGGCTTAGGTTTGAACAGCAACTCCTTCTCTTGTGCAAATACTTCCAACACTTCTTTCAAACTCAGCACCTCGTTGCTATCCATCTGAGCCTTAGCCCGAACCGGCTCAAAGTGTCTCTGCTCTTGTGCCTTTGCCCTTGGCTGAGACACTTCAACTCCTTCAACAGCTTCCATCAGCATATCCAAACCACGCTTCAACTGGATTCGGATCCTCTCGTTTGCTGAAAGCTCTTGTGGGAATGATTGTTTCCAGCCGTAATACCAATTGTGGATCTCGTCGAACCTTGGTTTAGCACGCAACCAGTGGTACAACACATCAAGCCATTTCGGGAAGAAGAACCTCTCCATCAGATCAGCCATTAGGTGTATCGGTACTGCAGATGCCCACTTCATAACCCAATTGAACTGGTCTAAATTCTGGTTTGCTGGGTTTACCTGAAACTCTTGCAAGGCTAGCTGGAGTTTGGGGACTATGTAACGGCGCATAAGCTGTTCCCAGCTTGTAGCATCAAAAACAGTCTTCCATGGGGAGAGAATAGTGTAGGCTGATGGATCACTAGGATGCCAAGCATCAAGAACATTACTCAATTTCATCTGAATGATCTGATACAGAAACTCCAACTTCTGACCAAGTCTCGGCAGCCAAGGATGCACCCAAACATGGATCGCAACAACTTCTCTTCTTGGGTCCCAATAGTCAACAGCAGTTGACAGTTTTGGCAGCACTACTGTGTCCAAAATCGTATCCATTACAGATGAAGGCAGCAAATTTTCCCATGTCTCAATGAATCTAAGCATCGGCTCAGGGTCTCTGGGCTCCCAGGTATTGATGCCAGCTATACGCACAGCAGGTAACACTACCTCCGAGACTAGTTGACTGTAAGGAGTTGAGATTACCCAGATATTTTGATCCTCGACTTCCAAAAGCCTTCTCCAAGAAGATATAGTCTTCAGACCATGCCCTGCATCCCTAAGAGGGTCCCAACCCTGGAACATTCTGATAAAGAGAGGCAAGGCAAGTGAGCAAGCAATGGTTGACAAGTTACAAAGCATGTAATCGTGAGGATAGCTTGTTTGCAGGTCCTCGAAACGATTAGCAAGTGAGTCCAGCGTCAAACTCCCAGATGTATTCTCCAGTTCTATTCGACTTATCTCATCTGCGATATATTCCATGTTGTCTAAGTGCGTTTTTTGTTTCTCTTCCTCCTTAATAAGCATCTCCTTCTCCTGCTGCAAGCTCAAGGCTGTCTCTCTCTCGTTCCTCAAGTCTCTATCAATCTTTTGAATTTCATGTTCCACTAAATCAACAATCAGTCGCAAGTTATGTTGCAACTCCGGCATAGGAACATCAGCCTCTCTTGCTTTCTCCTCTGCGTCCAAATTTTCCAAATTCGTCACAACCCGAACCTGTGGTCCACGCATATCAATAATAGTCTGCCCACCACCAAAACCCTCTTCCTGCTTCTTCTCCAACAACTCCTCTGCAGTGACATAAACCTCCTTCCTCACCTTCTTCTTCTTCCAAAGATTCCTCCCTCCTCTATCACCATGACCCTGATCATTCCCAACGACACTTCCCGCACTAGTCTTCTTCTCCTCCACCTTATTCAAATCAGGATACTTAGCCTCCTTGAAATCATTGAAACCCAAACCCGAATTCTTCGGCCTCAACTGCGCTTCAATAGGAGCCACAATACCTTGCTGATTCTTCCCAAGACCACCTCCCTTGTACCCCATCTTTGCAAGAAGCTTCATACCAATTCCTTTAGTAGCCTTCTCAAACTTCCCTATATCACCACCTAAACCTAAATCCTCCTTCTTCCCTCTCTTTGCACCACTCTTCTTCTCCATCTTAGCCTTCTCTCTCATCCTCGCCCCCTCAGCTATCTTCTTCCCAAACGCACCAGGTAATAGATTATCCTCATCCTCATCATCAAAACTAGACGCATTAAACCCTAACCCTAACCCTAAACCTGACCTTCCAGCACCCAATCCACCTCTAACTTCACTATCCTCATCATCCTCAATATCTCTATCATCCTCACGTTCTCTATCATCCCTATCAGTATCTTGATTCGGCATAACAGTACCTGTGGAGACGAAATTGACAGGCTTAGTCAAGTCTCCCGAATCCAGATCCTTACGATTCTTCTTCTTCTTATTCCTCCGACCTCCTCCGTCGCTGGAATCGGAATCGCTCTCGGCGAAGCTTCCGTAAATAGCGTCGTGTTTGGTTTGTTTCCGCTTCTCCTTCCTCTTCTCGTAGACGAACTCGCCGTTCTCCCAACGGCCTCCTTCGTAGTCGTTCTCCATGCTGAATCTCTCCATCTCTTGATACTCGTCCATGGCGCGATTCAACAGATCCGAAAGCTCTTTGCGAAATTTTGAGAGATTCGAACAAATTCGAGGGTTTCGAGATTTTTATTTTGCAACTCGCCGACGTATCGGGGAGAGAACTATGAACAACCCGTTTGGGCTTTTAAGATAAGATGGGCTCGTTTTTTTTGAATGTTGTAGCCCATTAAGATTTCTCACGTGCTATTTCTTTGTAACAAGACTCTTTAGTCTTCTTGTCTTTCGACTCTTTTTACGTTGTAGTTGTAACAAACCATGTTGGAGACAAAATGAGAGAATAGTACACTTCCCAGGAAAACAGATTACAAGATTTACTAAACTCACAATTATAGATCATTTAATATTTTATTCTTAAGTAGAAACTGTTGTATTCTTATAAAACTAACATGCTAACAAATATAGTTTTCTTAATATTGTATAGGTACTAGGTATGATGAGTCTTTCATCCACATATTTTCTAGAATACTGAATCCAGCAAAACCTTTTCTATTAGAAGATAATTTCCTCGTTTATAATTCTTTAAATTTTATAGTTCTGGTGATTATTTTAAAACTTGATTTCTTTATTATATTTCTCATGTTTTCAAGGTTTTTCTTTCTGATAAAAAGTCAAGACTTTTTTTGTTCACACAATATAATAATTAGTATAAAGTAAAGAATTTTTAGGAATATCTTATTTTCTCTAACCAACTTTTGTTTTTTTTTTTGCAACAATATATAGACATTCTCAGCTGTCTTTAAAGAAGAGTTGTTATATTTTGTCTGAACCACTACAACAAAATCCCATTTATTCTGTACAAACGACATAGATTTGGGATTTCAGACTGCAACACATAAAAAGAAACGTCCCAGCTTTTTTATATGTCATAATGAAGGCCGATCTGACTATGACTTTTAGTTGGTCTTTTTCAAAAATGTTGTTACAATGTTGAAAGTCATAACTAAACTTAATTTGTATCCATACCATTTTATCGCACACATTGGTTGAATAATGCAATAAAATTTCTTTAGACCATGACTGGACTTCTCTATTTTTTCTTACTTTATATTATTCTTATCTCTGCTACATAAAATAAATTTCAGGTAGTGTACTTATTTATTTTAGCAATTTATTTAAGGAGTTTTATCGAACTTCTCATAAATCATAAGCAAAGTATGATTTCGATTCGCAACCAAATTGTTTTTAATCCATGCGTAGTCTATCTATTGTTTCTTGAACAAACAAAAATAAATTAGTATAGCTAATCAAATTAGCTTACGTTATAACTATTTTAATCAACCAACAATGTCCGTAGCCGGTAGCTCTACTTTGTCTTACGTTGAGTTTAGTAAATGATAATGACCCTAGTCTACGCGTAATTGCATTATATTATTAAAATTAAACTAATTGATATGGTTGGACGAACATCACCTTATACTATATTGTTAATATATATCACATGCGTTTCTTAAGAGAGTTGACATTGCTATTCAGAGTCTCCAAAGAGCAACGCCACCTGATTTCATTTTTTTTGTCTACGATTAAATTAACTTAACACTAATAAATCAATATAGTTAGTGATTGATGACCTTTTGAAGTTTTAAATTTAATAGATTTCAAGGTTAGTTTCAATTCATCTACCTGATTATCGCTCAAGAAAATTGAAAGGAAAAAGTACATAAATATTAAATTAATTAAGGTGAGAACTGTGCGAGAACTCTCTTTTCTCTAACGATAATTACGACAAAAACAGACACCAACAAGAAAAAAAGATAAGTAAATAAAGAAGTATCATAGAGTCTATATTAAAAATAAAAAGATAAAAATACACTAAAAATACTCATGCAATAAAGCCACATGCATGTAGCGTTAGCGTAAGGAAAGGAAGACAAAAATTAAATTTATGGAAGTATACACCAAATAACTTGTTATGAATTCATTGCCAGTTGCACAAACAGCGAGTTATTACATATATCTTCTCTCTACAAACAAGTTTAATCACATTTTTATAATACAGTATATCTATTCACGCATATATATATATATATATATATATATTATATAGATATACAGCTGCCTCCAACATATATAGTCAACTGATGAAATTATAAGCATCATCATTATAGTCTTGTCTCCTTTCTTTCTCTCTTCCTCTTCTCTTCATCATAAATCAAGAACACAAGATGACTGAGATAATTACAGTACAGAGCGTGTTCTTGATCGGGTTTCTGGTCTTCGTACTGAATTGGGTATGGAGAGCTGTGAATTGGGTTTGGTTAAGGCCAAAGAGGCT